CACATCCAAAGACTATATAAAAAAAAAAATTATATTTGGTAGAGGGAGTTATCACATACAGTACGTTACCTTACCTGTCATTTGTAGTCCATTGTAGGTAGGACTGCAATTCCCTTGTTTTCTAGCTACACAAGTTCAACTAACTGACACAGTTAGCATTAAGGCTAATCAAGTGATGTTCTTTTTACCTTGTGCATTGCTGAAAGCTTGCATGATAAATAATATTCTTTGCACAGATTGTGTGCAGATGCTTTTCTGCATTGACTTTGTTAGTCTATAGCTCCTCAGTTAAGTCTGATAAAAGATGAGCAGTGGTCTTCTCTCAAAACAGTTTTAAAAGAAGTCATAGAAATGAAATATGAGTGACAAGTCTACATGGTATGCCAAAGAACAAACATTATATTCATAGAAATAAAACAGAAATATCTGTAAATAGAAATGCAGCCATGGTTATAAATGAGCAGGTGTGAGTCCAGATTTGTTTGACCAAGAGATGTATAACTTTGTTTTCAGGTGGCCTGTGAAACCATGCTGAGTGGATCGGACCTGCTCACTAACCTCAGGAACACAGCAGGTACTGGAAATTAACTCTTATTTAAAGCAGCCTGGTAAGTGAACTCTAAAACCCTTGCCACTTTGTTTCAGACTGGATTTCATATTATTTGAGAGATTAGTGAATAAAGTTGTGTGTGGACATAGTGCTCAGATGTATTTCATGTCAGCAGACACTAGAGGGCAGTGGCCAGCTTTATATTTACTTGCAAGTCCTTGTTCTTCGAGTATACAATGACGAGCAATTGTTTGGGGGTGTCTGTGTGAACCCAGGGGGCTCTGCCTGTGTTCTCCTGGTTTCTTCCCACAGACTGGTGACTAAAGTGTTAAAAAGTTAATTTGAAAGAAATAAACTCATAATGGGAGTGAATGGAACTGAAATACAACACTGTCTACCTGATCTCTGTTACAGCTGATAGACGCGTAAGAAACTTCCATATCAAGAAACTTCAGTAACCTCCGCTGCTGTTAACACAATGCTATCCTGCAGGGATCGTGTACAACTCTACTGGGCTGCTGACCTGTTTTGACCTGTACAATCTGTATTTGGAGTGTGCTGATCCCACCGGCTGCGGACTGGGCTTTGACAGCCTGGCCTGGGACTACCAGGTACCCCAATAACCACCACCACACTTCAGAGACTAGTATTTGTATGTAACCTGATCAAATTGTCAGTGTATAATCATTTCAGGTTGTCAAGCCTTAGATTTTAGGACTCTGTGGATTAGTAACGATAGTGACTTCAGGGGCCACATGTGTAAACAGTGTGTACGCACAAAGACTTGTTTACGCCTTTACTACACATTAAAACCTCACACATACTTCAGACCAGCATACACACAATGTAAGAGATAGCTACAGATGAAATGATAAGGTAGACATGAAGTCAGTTGAGAGATGTAACCTAGTAAAGCATTGTGTAGGTTGACTATTTATAATTGTGCAACAGACACAACATTCTGCATCATTCCATCTGATGTTTGATAATGACTGAGATATCAGTGCGATGATGGTTTACAGGTACATGTGATGAGTTAGTGGTATGGGTGCTACAATTAGCCACAGCCCTGTGCAATATAATCAGTTTACTCTTTATTTGCTGTGTTCTTACTGACAGGTCTAATGAGTGGTGGTACAGCCACAAGTATCGATATGCAAACAAATGTTTAATAAATTGGACCAAAATAATGTGTATGCATGTTCATCTTTGTGTGTACAGTTTGAGTTTTATGCATGGATTTGGTGCAGGGATAGATGTTGATAGTAATGTAAAAATGTTTTCCCACCTCTATACCAATACCAATGTGCATTCATACAGGCAGACATTTAATGGATATATACATTGTATACATAGTACACTACTTGTTTAAGAAAAAAAGTTACTTTACAGGCATTTTCTGTCAACTTGGACATACAAACTGTCATACTAACACTTCCCCCGCCTCTGTTGTGGTTGCAGGCGTGCACAGAGATCGATCTGTGCTATGAGAGCAACAATGTGACAGACATGTTTCCTCCCATGCCCTTCACCGAGAAAGACCGCAAGCTTTACTGCTCCAAGCGCTGGGCTGTGGTTCCACGACCAGACTGGCTCAAAATCCAGTTCTGGGGAGATGGTGAGCTCTTGTTGAGTTTCCTGAGTTAGCACACAAACTGCAAACTTAAGTGCCTGGTTGGTCTATACCAGACCAGGAGCACAATTGCTCCAGACAACAGGTGTAGGGATTTGGACAGACGCTTACTGTGGGGAAGTTTGGTAACTGTACAGTAATATTTTATATTAGCTCACAGATATTTTCAGTGTTAGGCACTGTAGGCGCCCTGCAATGAATGCTTTGTTATTGGTTCTTTCCTGAATATTCCCATATATCTCCACGTGTTTTTGTTTCTAATAAGCACTCCCCTTGTGATCAGCCCTCTCCACAGCCAGCAACATCATTTTCTCCAATGGAGATCTGGACCCATGGGCAAACGGAGGGGTAAGAGATTAAACCAAGTGAGTACACTTCAGTAAACTGAAGTCGCTGCTTTCAGTCTGACTCAATCTCTGCCATTTAGGTGCGCAAGTCCTTGAGCTCATCACTGATAGCGATCAACATTTCTGGAGGAGCCCATCATCTGGACCTGAGGTACAGCGAAATGTTGGCCCCTGGAGACACATTCATTTCTTTTTTTTCCTGAACTCAAAGCAAACATGTAAGCTGACATTTGTCATTTTCTGCAGAGGATCTAATGATGCTGATCCAGAGTCAGTAATCAGGGCCAGGAAGACAGAAGCAGACCTCATCGCACAGTGGGTGAAGATGGAGAGGACCAGAATAAGGCAGTCATCTTAAAGCACAGGTTCACTTTGTTTCAGGACTGGAAATGCATAAATGTAGTCATTTCCTGTCAGATCATAAATCAAATAGTTTGACACCACTGTAACACAATTCAGATTCACTTCAAACAAGGGCTGTCACGATCGATTTTCTCTACACAATAATCATGATTACAATGTCATTATTTAATTTTATACCATGATTATCATCAATATCGGTATATTGTGACAGCCCTACTTCAAAGTTGTACAGGAAATATTGGAATGTTTTAATCACTTTTCACCTCAAGCAGTTTGGCTAAAAATGATAAAACTGCCCCATAATGATTTTCTAAAGTATTTAAAAAGCTTGCATTGTCCAACCAGCAGATCAGAACCCAAAGATGTTCCTGTTACAATCGTGGAATATCTATCTACAGCAGGCTTTGTTTTATGACTCAATGATCAACAAAAATGTGTTTGTTCAATAAAATCTCTTTAATGTCTACATTTTTCTTTACAAAATTAAAGCCGATCCAGCGTTTATCATACACCAGGTGACATCAACAATACATTTTGTATGTTTGAGAAAGTGTAACATAAATTAAAAAGCAAACAAATTGAATAAATGCCCACCACCCACTAACATGACTGGTTTTGAGTAGAAATTAAAAATTCAAGATGATCGTTGAGACAGAAACCTACAAACTTTCACAGCTATCTTCTAATTACAGCAAATTGAACACAATGTGGGTCTACAACCAGAGTTCATATGTAATTGGAACAGTATCTGTAATGCAATTCCAAAATGTTTCAACCATTTGTAGTATGACTATTAGCAAAGAATTTTGCCCAAAATATTATAAAATGGCAGTATGTTTACACAGTAACAAACTTTTAAATCACTGGAAAAACTCTAACTCAGTATCCCATAATAATAAGTAATGGGGCCTCCCATCCCCAACTACTACAGCTGCTTTAAGATAGAGCTCCAGGCTCTGAACTCTTCAAATATGTGATAATTACAGCTGTGTTTGTCTTTCACTGTAGTCTAAGTGAGGTTTATAGTACAGTACAGTTAAAATTCTGGTGGTGTCACTGCAAATTAATGTATGTGGCTGTAACTAAAATAGAAGGGAATCCTACACTGGTGAAACTTATCAAAAGCACTCAAAATATCCTTTATTTTGTTTTTCCTGAAAGAGTGGGTTTGGAGAAATGGCTTTTCATTGTTAAAACCCCAGGGTTGAGTACATTTTCAGTACATCTTTGGCTCAGGAATTCTGCTGAAATGCATTCAGGGAGGGATCCCACAGAGCCCTTAAAGGCAGGATTCACACACACACACACACGTAGAGATCACCATTATGTAAAGTTGCTTTGAGGGACTGCTTGAAATATTAATCCTTATTTCATTGTACTACCTACTGTAAAAATAGTCCTAACTGAAGTGATCACAATGACCGTATGCTGTAGCAAATCAGCAACATATACATGGAAAGTTAGCTTGAATGGACATGAACGGACAGTTTACAGTTTTGAATGTTGAAGGCACACGTGAGACAAACACCAAGGAAGAAAAAAAAAAAACATACAAGTTTCAATGGTCTCAATACAAATTGACAAATTTCTTAAAAACAGCTAGTGGAGCTATGATGTAAACTAGTAATATTTACAGGAATGACTGCTCTGAAGCTCCAGCTACTACAGAAACTAAACAAATGCACAAGGAGAGCTCACTGCATTAAGATAGCTGCAATTAGACCTTTAAATATACACTACAAATCAATATATTATGCAAAATTTAGATTTCAAATCTCACTATTAATTTCTCACTTGAAACTAATGTACTCTACACCTTACCAAGGAAAATATTAATTATCAACTGCTTAAAAACAAAAAAACTAATATCAACGATGCAAAGAACCCATTACTGTTCTCATTAAACAAAAGCTTCACAGTTCATTAGTAAATCTGCTGCTTGGCAACAAGTGGAATCAGACCATGGTCATCTGTGTCCCCAGTACACACTAATGCTGCATTCATGTCATATGG